TTTCCATTTCAAGCTTGACATTACCATTTTTAGATGAAAAATTGTGAGAGAAAATTTGGATTATTCCTCAAGGAAAAGCCCAGTATCTAAAGGTAATCTGTTTTTAGGGAAGACTGAATAAACTATTGCTATTCATAAGAGCATAATGGGAACATAGAATATGAATAATAACACATTTTCAATGTTCTTCTCCCTGCCCAGTCAATGGTTTATAGGATTATTTTTAAAATAACTTATTATAGTAGTATTCCTTCAAATTTTAATGATGCTTTGTCCTTTGAAATACCATAATTTTAAAGGGTAGAAACTGGGATAGCCTGAATTCAAAAGAGATTACAATCTTTTAATTATCATCATACTGCCACAGTCCACATATATATATATAGTGTCCAAATATATTTACAACTATCTGGTGATACCTAAAATTATTGAATTGTTGTTCACCTTTGCTGAGACTCAGTGAGAACAACTTACTGCTCAACATGACTTCATGAATAGAAAACAAACGTTTAAAGTAACTTTTTCACTAACTAGATATCAAAAGAACATGAGTCTATTTGTCATGAGATTTACATGTTTCACTCGACCCACTTCTTTGCTAACCCATCATCTGTCCCCATACTAAAATAGAATGGTGTTAAGGGCTTGGCATTTTGTTTCTGTGACCCTGTCCTAAAGTTTCTTCCACAATTGTTTTACAAAGCTCCATGTCTTTGAAGTCTTTATATTTAGTTGTGAACTTACTTTTGAATTCCTGTCTATATTTTAAAACAGCCAACCAATTTCTTAATAAGCTCAGCATAACAGAAACTGAGCTTATCATTTTTCCTTGAGGTATATAAGACACCATTTTACCTAATTATTTTAAGACCACATTTCTATTCTCAGCCAACCATTCTCAAAACACAAATCATGTTGCTCTTTGATATACTCTCAGATCTTGGCTGTCCTTGGATCTAAGAAATACCAAATATAAATTAATTGTCTATGGTTTACTTTCTTTTAAGTCCCAGTAACACCAAAGATATCCAAACATATGTCCAATTCCTTTCTTTACCAACAAGTTCCATCCAGTGCACTGTGACCAAGTCAGTATGTCCCACCCCCACTAAGCATTGTTGCAATTATGTTTTTGCTGCACAGGAACCTTACACATCTACTAAAAACAAACAAGGTGTAGGTTCAAGCATGATGGTCAAGTCATTTCTTACTCTTTTCTTGAGGAGCTTTCTAGGCATAATTAAATCTTCCTGGTACAGAATGCTTTGTAGGAGTTTTGATCATTCTGTGTTATTGTCTCTCAAGATTGTTATAATAGCTCTCATCATCTAGTACAGAACATAAGCTTTTGACATAAATTCATATATTGAAAATGGGCTTTACACTCTAGCTGAAGAATCTTAGCCAACATGTACTTTTATCTTTCTAGAGCAGGGAATATTTTATTTGTAACACTAAGAGAAAATAATATCTACTTGATACAAATATTAAAATGATCAAGTGTGTTAAAAGTTTACCTGATGTATAATAAATGTTCAACAAACATCTACTATCACTGTCTCACAGAGTCCTATGCACCTGTGTGACACAAATTAATGCTCAATACATCTTGTCTCGAAAGCTCACCTCTATCAAAGTCCTATGCATGTTTGTGACACAAATTAATGCTCAATACATCTTGTCTCGAAAGCTCACCTCTAAATGATAGCCATTGCCTGATGTTACTATTTTGGATATGTTTCTGAAGAATAAATAATTCTTGATTTTATGTTTTTACTTTGCCATATATTTTTAATTAAAATAATTAAACTCTATGTTAACATGGAGAAATTTAGGTGCCATTTTGGTAAACTGCATCAAACTAGAAAGAAAACGTCTTATTGTGTTATAGGAAATAGTCTCAAGGAAGATGTTAATATATTTGTGTTTTGTCCTCTGAAGTATTTTTATTAGGAGTTATTTGGGAAAATAACTTCAAAATCTGAGACACAAGATCCGCCTTCTGCTAAAATAGGTTTGTTTCTTTCTATCTAGAGTAATTTCTGCTATGGAATAGGTACTCCAAAATATTTTTTCTAGAAAAGATACTAAACATTGCTATAATACTGAAATGGTATAACCGAATATATATTGCAAGGATTCTAGTAAGATATCTACATCTATATCTATATCTATATCTATATGTAAATAAGTTCAAACCCAGAATATTTCATATGTTACGCAAACACTCTACCTTGAACTATTTGTCTTCCAATATGTACAATTTCTAAACAGAAAATTCAAAAGATCTGATTGGTGCTCAGCAATGCATGTGTAAAATATATCAACAATGGGATAAAAGGTTTGATGAAAATGTTATCATCATATACAAAAAGTAAAACCTAAAAGAAAACAACAAAAAGCTACCAACCACAGAATACTGATATAAAAAGACTTTAGGTAATACAATTACAAAAATGAATACAAATTTACACAAAGAATAGAAACTTAATTGGTGTTTTTTGATTTATTTATTTTTTTCAAAATGAACAGAATCCAGACTTCTTGATGCAAAACTACTCTATATTTGGGAAATGGCCATTATTCAGGTATTAAATTAAAACCTACAAGTATTCTTCCAAAATAAATACTCTAAATGAATAGGTAGAATAGATTGGGACTTTTTCCAGTTTTGTTAGAAATAAATTTTTGTTGTTGAAAATAAATAAGCAGAGATTAAGTAGTGGTGCATTAGGGAAAATAGTTAAAATGTGGCCATCTTAATTTGATTATTATCTTAAAATCTAACCCCTCATGATGAAATATATCCTCTAAGTTAACGCAAAGTGTTCTGAGTATTGTAGCTCAATAGAAATACAATTAAAGCCATAAATGTAATTTAAAATTATCTAGATGCTATATTATAAACAAAAATTTGATAAAATTATTCTATTATTTGTAAGTCATAAATATTAACTTCCAATATTTAGCAAAATTTTAATTCATTAATAAACCCAAAATATTATTTTCTAAACAATAAAATAATAATTATATTTACATGCACTATTTGCAAACAAGTACTCAAAATGTAAGCATGTTTTACAGTTATACCACATCTTAATTTGGATTAGATACTTTTTGATTGATCTAAGGACTTTTCTTGTTAGTGCAGACTTTCACTATTTCAGCCATGCCAATTCTCAGGATTTAGCATTCATTGTTAACTAGAAAGGTCTGCATGGAAAACTAGCCTATCAATAATATTTAAAATGAGAATATTCAAAATTTTATTGGATTGCTTTTATATTAGTCATAAATCATCAGTCTTGTAGACATGCATTTTTAAATGTTTTATTTTTTAGGTTTTATTTTTGAGAAACTTATTCTGGGCAGCCCCTTTGGTGTGGGTTTGACCTAGAAATTTTAATTTCTCTATACCTTATTTATTTGTGATCTTAAGCCTCTTTTTTACTATATCTTACATATAATATAGTATTATCAAACTAATGATACAATTTTTCCTAAATAGATTTTACACTCATTGAAGTTAGCAATACCTCTTGTATCAGTCTGAATTTTGCTTTGCAAATATGACCTCCTTTTTTATACGAATAGGATGTTTATTATACACATTAATAGTTTAAGACTATTAGCACAGTGATTTATCAATAATCATTTTTTACAATTAAAATGATGATAATCAACCCAATTATTTCAACTATTGGCAAGAAAAGATCAGCCACTTAATATATATGTGATTACTACTCTTTACATGTAAAAAAATTAGAAAGATCAAGTTGTTGTCCTGCCCTTAATAATTTACTAGTTCACCATTATTGCATGGTTTTGAATTCTAATGAAGAAGACATTTTTGCTAACCAGTGTAAATCTTTAATTCAATGCTTTTATTGTACTTCATAATTTTGACTTATTATGCAATCTATTGGAAGAAATGGATAATATGGAAGTGCCTATTTTTGCAAAGCACACTTAGACCTCTGCAGGGTGATGCACATTGCAATCCAGGTGCATTGGAGGCTGAGATAGAAGAATTGCTAGTTGGGATCTGTCAGGGCTACATAATTAAGCCCTGCCTCA